TAATATGACTTTATTAGTCTCTCTCATTGTTGTGGAGGAATTTTGGCCCACTCTTCTTTACAATGTTGCTTCATTTCATTGAGATTTGTTGACATTTGTTTATGCACTACTCTCATAAGGTCTCACCACAACATTTCCATCAGGTTGAGGCCTGGACTGGGCCATTGCAACATCTTGATTCTTTTCTTTTTCAGTCATTATTTTGTAGATTTGTTGGTGTGCTTGGGATCATTGTCTTCTCAGCCAAGCTTTAGCTGTTGGAGAGATAGCCTTTCATTTGACTCTAGAATACTTTGGTATACAGAGGAGTTCATGGTCAACACAATGACTGTAAGTTGCCCAGATCCTGTGGCTGCAAAACAAGCCCAAATCATCACACCACCACTACTGTGCTTGACCGTTGGTATGAGGTGTTTGTGCTGTGCAAACATATTACTGTGTGTTATGGCCAAGCATCTCCACTTTGATCTCGTCTATCCAAGGGACACTGTTCCAGAAGCTTATCCAGACACAGCTTTGCAAATCTAAGTCATGCTGCCATGTTCTTTCTAAAGAGAAGAGCCCTTCTCCTGGCAACCCTTTCAAACAAACCATTTTTCTAAAGAGAAGAGCCCTTCTCCTGGTAAACCTTTCAAACAAACCATACTTGTTCAATCTTTTTCTAATTGTACTGTCATGAACTTTAACATGCTAACTAGAGTCTGAGATGTAACTTCTGGGTTTTTTGCAATTTCTCCGAGTATTGCACTGACTGGTGTTGGGGTAGATTTGCTTGGACATCCACTCTGGAGAAAATTTGCTACTGTCTTGTTGCCCCCCCCCAGGTCCCGAAATGAAGACACGAGACAGTGTTATGGATTAAATACGGGCCACACTTTATTAAATCAATTCCAATTATATATATCGTTAGCCTCATCAAATGAGGGGGCCTGCGGTAGTACGGGGAAAGAAATGTAGGACATCCAATACCCTTATCAGTCAATGGGCGAGTCCCAGGCCCCAGGTTCCAGCAGTCTTGACAACAGCAGGAACCTGGCTGGCCTCTAATAAACACCCCAGACCTCGAGCCATCTTTATTTGATGACTATTGGTCCGAAAGTGGCCCAGCGCACCTCCCACCACCGGCCCTGTAATCGCACAATCCACAGAGCCGGGATGCGCTGTTGGCTTACCATAATTATCAAAGGGACATACCGAGACAGCCTGTTTTCCCCCACATTACCCACCAGTGTGACCACCCATCAAATGCCAGCAAACCCTTCTCCAGTGTGGGATAGGCAAAAAATCCCTCCATCCAATAGCCAATCAGCATAAAGGTCAAAAATTCCTATCCAGCCCCATAAAGGAGACCAAAATCACACTAGAAAGAGGGAGGGTAGGTGCCCGAACAAGTAAAGAGGATGCGTTGAGGGTGAGTGTTCCTTTTACAACTAACCGCTCACCCTCCCCTGCTCAACACGTGACCAGAGCTAGCCTCGTGTCCTCCGGAACCGGGAAGGGCAAATGCTGGTCACACAGTTCAAGGACATTACGACGTCCTTCCTGCAGCCGGAACCAATGTTTTCCACTTTTGAATAATCTTCCTCAGTGTAGAATGATGGACTTTAAATTGTTTGGAAATCACCTTATAACATCCTCAGATCAATGGGCAGCAAAATTGCTTCTCTACAATCATTGCTCATGTGTTTCCTCCTTGGTATTGTGTTAACACACACCTGAATGCTCTAGACCAGCAAATGGCTAAAATTTCAGCTTTTATAGAGGTGGTCACACTTGCTGTGGATCAGTTACTGAAGGGCATTTGGCTAGTAGCACCTGGCAGCTCCTTAGCCTCTTAATTCTTATGGAAGCAGTCAGGGTGCACTTAGATTTTCACAAATGGCTTATCTGTTTTGGCTTTATTTGTGTTAAATAAATCATGACATGGTGTAATATGTCATGTGTTGTAGTTCGTCTGACGTTGTATTTACCTAATTTTAAGACCTGCTAAGGACTAGGTGATTTTTATTATATCCTGATATGTAAAACCATAGAATTCAAAGATGCATTCTTTTTCACGTGATTGTAAGTCACATCAATTTCAACTGCTTTATTTTAGGAATAACTAATTCTGGACCCAAACCATTATTTGGTGTTGCTTTATTGGAATTATAACATTTCTGTGTCTTTGGATGTTTAGTCATAAACAGAACAGGCGGGCAGGGGTGACCAAAGTATATCTTCTTCCCTACTGTTGGTGTGATTCTTCTTTAACATGATAAATTGTACCCATCTATCCATTGCACAGTATGGATAGGAAAGAACTGACAAAGAGTAGTTTTATGGATTGCAGTACCCAGAATATAACAGCTAGCAATTGAGAACATCTGGCTCACCAAATGCTTTGTACTACAGCTCAGATACCACTAACCATTAGCCGTGCTGATGAGTTGATGGAAATCAGTGACTAACAGCTCTGGAGAGCCAAACTGTTCACATTTTCATGAAGTCTGAATAGGGCTACCTGAGGCAGAATCCTCTTTGTTTCATCCACTTGTGTGGTGAGCATTATAACCGTTTTTGAGTTATTAGTACAAAGTATTCCACAACTCATGGTACAAACTTGTTCATTTCAGAGATCTAATCTCTGGCTTGAGGAATGGCCAGCTGGAGACCATACAGCCTTGGACTGGCAAAGCACTGTACTCTGCTGGGAAGCAACAGGAGGATAGTGGCCTCGTTGCTGTGCTTTGAGTCAGAATAAATATAAAATTCTGAAGTGCACATTAGAGCAGGAAATTCAGCCTCAATTTGTCACTACTGCAAGGATAAGTTACATATCCTATTTTATGTTGAGGTGGGATGTTTTTTCTTATTTGAGACTGAATTATTAATAGATGTGGTGGTGTTTCAGAGTTATATAGGTTCCTATTAGGAAACATCTGTTACTGAGCACAGGCTCTTGCACTAAACAGGTGTGAAGAATAGCAGTGACAAGTTAGGGAAACAAAAAGCAGGCAGCACAGTTGTCATTGGGTGCAAAATGGTGTGCTAGCACTGAGGAGAGGAAGCTGCATCAGATCAATATTAGTTTCTTTTTTCTACTAAGACAGAAGGTGCCTGCTGGGTGTACAGAACAAGTGCAAAAAACTAGACAATGTGGCAGTCTTGCGCTAAATAAAAGAAGCAACTGACTGAGATAATGTGAGAATTATGGACCTGTTTATTGCCATCGGGGGAAATTATTCTGTTGCTACTGGGGAGGACTACTGAGGACAGATCTGTTGCTGGCATTTCATGTAGTGATTTGTGTTTGGGAATTTATTAAGTTAATAGTATCTAATCTCAATTTCAAGTCTCTCCCCCCGCCCCCTTTCTGACAGGGAATCTGAGACTTTATTCTTACAAAGATCTTACTCTCTTTTTATTTCCAGTTCTTATGACTTCAGATAGCATAATTCAGCTTAGATGAGGTTTGCTCTGTGTAGGATTGTAGGACTGAAACCACTGAATTTCTTGATTATCCAGGACAATAATGTTATTTGCCATCTCCCTCAGACTGGAAAGGAGGTGTTTCTTCTTGGTGCAGGGAAAAGGAAATCTTGGAATATCTTGAGCACCTGTGCGTGTATGCCAGAGATAGGCTATATGTGACCCTGGGGCCCAAATACAGCTCTGAGCATTCTCACACTCCCTGCAACTATTTTTTTTATTTAAAAACAAACAAACACAATTTGGCTCAGAAATTCCCTTTGTATCCTCTAGGGGATGTAGACTGCAGTTTCGTGGGGCTCAGCAACTTTCAATGCCCAAATAAATATTTAGGTTTTTTTTTTTTTTAAAGTCTTGGTCACTAGAATGTGGAAAGGAGCTTCTTCAGTATCCCATTTCCCCTTTTTGTAAGAAAAAAATATGAAAGCTGCTGATGTAGGTCTGGCTGTTGAGGATCCAGGAATGGATGTGTGCAGCCCCTCAACCTCTGAAGGTTACCAGTACACACACACATAAAGACACACAGACACAGACACACAGACACAGACACAGACACAGACACACACACGCCACCGCCACCAACAGCAACAACAACAACAACAACAACAACAACTCCTCCCTGTGTGTCATGGTAGAGTGAGTGGGAATTCCTACTGGGGCGCCACCGCCACCAACAGCAACAGCAACAGCAGCAACAACAACAACTCCTCCCTGTGTGTCATGGTAGAGTGAGTGGGAATTCCTACTGGGGCCACCGTGGATATTTTCCCCAGCTGCTACCCTACATGTTTGCCTGGGTGGAACTGCAGAAATAATGAGCAATTACAATGATCACCATCCCACTTGTCTATGTACATCAGTCAGGCATCACAATATAGCTGTACTCTACAAAAGCTTAGGGTTGTAACCAATTTGTTTATCTTTAAGGTGCCACAGGATTCTAGTTCTTTTTGCTCCAAGAGATGAATGTTAGTTTCTTTGGAAACTGATTCCACTAGTTATCGCAGAATCACTAAGAGCCCGACTTTAATAAAGAAATCTGTATTTTGGAAACGCAAGCTCGCTTTTTAAAGTTTGCTTTCAAGGGAGCAATGTGGCAAAGAGTGCTGCCATGTAGCCTTCATTCATTTCAATGAAGCTTCTCTGTCTCTTCCTCGCCATAAAAACAGCCATTTCTGCAGGAAGAAAATGAGGAAAATAAGTGTCTAATGCTATGCAACTACAGCCAGTAAACTCCTCTTGGCTTCCTTCTTCGTCTTCCAACAGATTAAGGATACAAAAGCCAGAAATACATTTAATATTTATGTATAGTAAATGCATATGTAAAAGTAAACAATTTGTTAGGGCACCTTTCAACACATAATGACCTATATTATGCCATATGGTTAGCATGTCTCTTGAAGAGCTGGACTGACATGTTGGCATGGCTGTTCCCATAATTGGACACAAGGGAGATCACAATGGCTCCTTTGTAAGCTACAGCCTGCTCTCTTTTGCATTTTTTTCATTTACATTTGTTTATTTTACAGGCTTGCAAAGATTTTGTGAAGACATAGAGATGATGATTGGATTCCAGCCAAGCATATTCTGGAGAGTCTGTTGGGCTTTTGTGACCCCAACTATTTTAACAGTAAGGATCAGAGCAACTTTGGGGGGAGGGGGGCTTACCAGGCAAAAATAGCCATTTCCACGAGTCAATTCCTTCCTCCCCCTTCTCTAATGATTATGCAATAAGGTCTATAAAATATGTTAGATAATTCTGTTCTTTCCCAAAAAGGAATAATCAGGAAGCTAGACTGCTGACTTTTAAAACACGATCATGTTGCTCAGCCACGTTTTCATTAGTTGGCCTATTCTGACATGACCCTCATTTTCCCCTATGGATGTTGTTATCCCTGTTAATTATGATTATTGGCTTCTGTAATTCTGTATAATAATATGCATATAAACCAGAAATGGGGAAACTATGGCCTGCCCAATGTTTTGGACTTTCTCTCTTTCAGCACAGCCAATAGGAAGACATTGGCAGTGGAAGAGATGGTTTGCCTGCTCCTGGTGCAAACAAAGCATGCATTTTTTTTGACTAACAAGTACATTCGATGTGGGTAATTAGGTACCCAGAAATTGTCTAGTAGAAACCTTGCTTACAATGCACTGCAATGAAGAACTTGGCACACCACCCTGTTTATTTTCAGAGGGATGCAGGTCAGAGAAATTTCAGTGAATTGTGTCCAGTGCTCTCACTCATGAAAAAGAGAGAGAGAGTATTTTGTGTCCAACTTTGAGTCCAACAATGCCATCAAATATATGTTTATACAAAGCAAACAGTATCAACCTCCCTTCTTTTTGATATATACACTATATGATTGTTGTGGGTTTTTCAGGCTCTTTGGCCGTGTTCTGAAGGTTGTTCTTCCTAACGTTTTGCCAGTCTCTGTAACTAGCATCTTCAGAGGACAGGAGTACATTTTCATGTTACAGTGACACAGTCCTGCTCTGAAGTAGTCAAAGTTCTGGAAAATTTGTGGAGAATGTGCCAGGTTTTACAGGACTAATGCTCCCATGAGCTCTCCATATTTTCTGCACTGGAAAGGGCCAATGGGACCTATCGTCCAGCAACATGTGGTCTAAAGGCCTCATACAGTACTGCAGGAGTTGTGTCATGGTGAAATCTCACACTTCATTTTGTTGGGTACAGTACTTTGTAAAGCATTACCTTTGAAGATCCAGGTCTGACAAGGCATTTGTATGCACAAAAGCACCTCACGGCCAAGAGTGTTCACAGAAAAATGTTCAAGGTTGAGGTAAAGATAAACATGAAAACTATAAGTAGATTTAGGATGGGATGTGGCCTTGCTTCCTCCAGCGAATACCCATGCTCGTGGCATTGGATATGAAGGATACAGTCCATTAAAGTATGTTGTCATGTTTAAAAGAATGGTGGCATGAAGCTTTTTTATTTATTTACTTTTGTATGCCAGTAGAGCTGCCACTTTTCTTTGGAGCTACCCCATATTTGAAAATGGTCAGTACACTCACCTGCCAAGTGTTTATTTCTCCCTAGAAGGATAGTTCTCTTTCTGAAATTTAGTCACTGTGACTCTCTGTTCCAGGAATATGGCTTTGCTTTTCTGTATATAACATATGTATTCCAAAGCAAAATATAAGATAATTGTTCAGAAAACGCAAGCAAATCATCTATGGGCAGTTAAGGAGCAGTTTCCTTGTAGTACCACTAAGTGTCACTCTGTATCAGGAGCTTCAGTTTTCCCATGAAATCTGAGCTGTAAGGCAGTGTTGTAGGAGGAGTGTATACAGAAAAGGAAGGGAAATCCATATCATGCTTTTATAGTTGTCATAGTCAATTTGTGAACTAATAACCAATAAGGCACCTATATTAATAGGTGAGAATGCAGCAATCGTATCTATGTAGTAGCAGTAGTTGTAATAATAATAATATTAGTAAATAATAGCAGCTAGAATCCTATATTCTTCCTTATATTTCACTTATCCTTTATTAATGAAGTTTTAAGGAAGAAAAATATACATGCATGTTTAAAAAGATTGAAAGCTACTTTCAAAATCTGAAAAGCAGAAAAAAAATCTATATGTTTGCTTTGCCTAGAATCTGACTTTTTGGAAAGGAATAACCTACAATTCTTTCTAGTTGTGGTCTTGTTCATCATCCAAACAACTATTATTAGTGCTGAGTTTAAAAAAAACACCCAACAGTTACATCCTCCCCCCCCCACAACCTGGACATCTTTATTGAATGTAGAAGAATTTTAACTATGTTAGAAGTTGATGGAAAGCTTAGAATGCTTGTACTGTATTTTTTCCCCAAAAGTACAGTATTCTTCATCATTGCTATTCTAGGTGGAACACAGAGCACATTTTAGGGATCTGCAGAGACACGTGCACACTCTGTAGTGTGTTTTGTCCCTCCTCTCCTCAAAATAGCTTTCCTTTCCTTATGGAAACTGAAACGGTGTATCTTTTGAACAACTTGTTAAAGGGGAAAAACAAGGCAAGCTGGAAATAATGCACATTAACTTCATGGCTAATTTGAGCCCAGATAAAATAAGAAATTGAATCTCAGAGCTTTTGAAATATCTAGATATATTTGAATGCATATAAATGGGGAGAAAGTAGAGAATGCAGCCAAATACTGTATAGGAAAGCAGCCTAGTATAGGAAAGGCAAAAGTGAAATGGCGTGGAAATATACACAGAAGTTATGCAAAAAAAAACCCCTTCCAATTCTTTTTATTAGTTCCATGAAGTTAATGCACTTCTGTTAACACATCCCCAGAAATCTGAAAGATGCTATCACATGCATGTGTTTTGCTCTCTCTCTCTCTCTCTCTGTGTGTGTGTGCGTGTGTGCGCGCACACACACACACACAAAGACTGAAGTCTGATCATGAACTTGCTCTAAGTCCTAACCATTTGCAGCTCATGGCCAAAGCTGGTATAATAGGACAGTCAGGCCCTATCAGGCAAGTGCTGGATAACAATTGGCTGAGTTGCAAGGCAAAGAAGGATTCCCATGGGAATAAGGATATGACGACACTGGAAAGCTGAATCAGAGCAATTTGATTCACAGCCTGTATTGCATTTGAAGTTGCAGCCAGTGCTCACACAGGGGATGCGGATTGATTTGAGCATTCACTTTCCATAGGGGATACAATGTAATTCACATTCCAGCCCACAGCACCCCCTTCTTTCCTTCCTTCCTTTCTTTCTCTGATCCCACCTCTGCTGATCTGACAGGGGACTGACAGGGTTGTAAGTACAGAACATAATGATAGCAATAAACCAGTGATAAAGTGAGAGAGTGATCTAGCTTTAATCTCATATATGTAAGCAATGTTTTTAAAAAATTAAAAATCAGAGGATGATCGAGAGAGAGTAACACTCCTGAACATCACACCCAACTTCCTACATCACCAAAACACCACCTATACCCCCTCCTTTCTTTACAAGACTATCACAACTAGCTACACAGAAAAATAATATTTTGGAATCATTCTTGCTTGAAAAAGCAGGGGAGGGGGAAAGAAGCAGAAGGCGGGGGGAGAGCTGCTTTTCGAGCAAAAAGTGATTTGAACCAGCCTTTGAGTCATGCAGTCAGTAAAAAAATACTTCACTTGTTTCATAAGTGGAGCAAATTCCATTGTATTTGCAGCCTAAGCAGAAAGGAGCAGCTCTTTGATAAGGCACATTCTACTCTTCCAGTACTCTGCACCTACTCCAAAATAAAACGGATTGTAGCAGACTCCGCTTCTCCTTGCACCCAGCCAGGGCCACTTCATAGGTATGACTGAATCAGGTGGTAGGCAGCATATGTATAGGCAGCTGCTTGCCCTGCTTGTCAAGTCTTTCCTTGTCTATTAGCTACCTGTCTGTCTCCCACAGTTTTTAGCAGCATGAAAGAGGCAATAGGTGGTAGCCATTTTATATTCAATTGCCTGCATGCACATTGAATACCTTCAACTGCCAGGCCTTGCCTACCTCACTGCACTGGCCTCAGTTTATGTGTGCAACAATTATCAGGCAGGATGGGTCAGAGAAAGATGACAGAGAACTCAAAGGAGCTTTCTCCTTTCTTGTCCAACAAGGAAGGATCTGTTCATTCCCTTCCCTGCCTCCATTGGATAGGCAAATTATCATAAGATGATGACGATGATTAATTTTATTGAAATGCAGTGATTGCATCTTTTCCCCACCTTTTGCAAAAAATCAAGGCAGCAGTGGGAGGCTGTGAATTTAAGCCAAAAAAAAAGGGGGGGGGATGCTGGTTAACTCTTTCCATTCCAGCCATTTCTCTTCTGCTCCAGTCCATAGACTGCTCAAAGTTACAGCTGCCATTCCACCCATGAGGAAATGGATCTAGGTAGGAGTGATGGTATGGAGACATACGAGTAGGTTTTGGAATACAAAAGAAAGTGTTTTTCATTATGATTGTTGAATATGCAGCATTATGTACAAGAGGGGGAAAATGGCAGACAGTTTGTTTCCTTCTTTCTTTTGGCTTCCTTCATTAATATTAATATTTGATGCATTGGAATGATTTAAGATTATAGTTTAAATTGATCCACGTATCCTGAAGTAAAATAGCCACTTTTGTGTTTCATTTGTGGTAACAACACCATAACTCTTCTGTATGGAATTATTCTGTGGGTAGGCAGTTCGCATACATTGCTGAATTATGCACCAATGTAAGCAGAGGCACTGCTTTTTATACAGTAAGTGCAAAAGACTAACAAGATAATTACATTAAGCTATACTGCCAATAGACTGTGTGTGCAATAAAGCTTTCTTTTACTAGAAGTACAAGATTCTGGTGCCATTCCCTCATGTAAATTTGACTTCATTCTGTTGATTTCTGCAGAGCTGTGCTTGATTTACAAAGGTGCCACAGAGATTCAAATACATTCATTATTGTATATTGTTTTCTATGCATGCATAAATACACATTTTTCACAGAAACAAAATTCTGTGTCATGCATATGTTGGTGGTACTGAAGTGTATTGATTAAAAGTATTTGTTTGCTTGTTTTTTTCCAGTTCATCCTTTGCTTCAGCTTCTACCAGTGGGAACCAATGACTTATGGCAGCTACCACTATCCTGGCTGGTCTATGGTACTAGGATGGCTGATGCTGGCTTGCTCAGTTATCTGGATTCCCATTATGTTTGTTATAAAAATGCATATAGCTCCTGGAAAATTTATTGAGGTAAATTTTATCTCCCTGACCCCCAAAAGATACAGGATAGAATTTGCACAAAAACAAACAAACACCAAAGTTGGCCATCATGGATGGTGGAGGTGGAATCCCCAGTCCTTTTCACTATAATAGTAGGACCCTGTTCAGCCAGCCTGGTCATTAAATAACTTATAGTATGAGCACTTTTAAACCACCAATAATCAGTGAGCAACACCGCTTGAGTAACATGAACATTTGTATATGTGGTGCAATCTGTGTTACTCCACAAGCAGGGCTTTATGCTCAGCATACTCTCAAAAGGAGGCTAGGCATGATGTTGAAATCATCACAGCCTCTCCATGAAGCTTGTACATCCAATGGGAGAAGAGAGTTTGCAGACATTCAAATATAGCTCTAATAGGTGAGACAATTAGTATGATTGGGCAATCATTTGTGGTCTCATGATACAACGGTGGGCAAGATACGCCAATGTGCCACTCTTTCTTAGACTATTAGGACAATGTTGGAGAATGCCACACTGTGGGTGATTTTCAGTGCTAGTGTCACGCTGGACCGATACTGCTTTGGAGAATAAGGGTTTTGGAGAGCAAGGGTTCCTCCCACATTACTCAGGGTTTCGCAAATATACCAGCAAGACAATGTTTATTTAATGGTAAATCTGTTTATTTTTATTGGATTTCAAGGTAGCTCCAAGATGAAGAGGAACTCCATTGACCATGCCTGTAACAATGGGTGGATAGATTTATAAAATTAGTTCCTCCTAGAAAATGCCCCTGGAATGACTTCTCAGCAGTTTAAGTCATAGTTTCTGCTTAGAAATGTCTGCTTTGAAGTTTTAATATTAGTCAATCAATCAATCAATCAATTAATTAAATGTATATGCACCTCCTTAGTGCAATGCACTCTTGGTGCAATACACTACTCTGGGAAGTTGGTAGTCAGCTAAAACATAATGAAAGCAAATCAAATAAAAACAACGTAAAACGAGACATTGACAATAAGACCAAGGGCAAAATGGCAGAATAAAATCTGGCATGGAGCATATAAAAAAGCATAGCAGCAGAGGAATAGTTAGAGGTTGTATCTGCCGTCAGTGTACATCTGACTGCCACAGTCCATATGTTTTGTACACTGGCATAACTATGGCTGTTACCTTTCAATGTTTTTTTTATTACTAGATGTGTTTTTGGAACCTGTTTGTGTCAGGTCAGGGAATCTGACATCTGGACCTCTCCCTAAGAGTCCTACAGAACTTTATAGACCTCTAGGAGAAAATCTTAAGCCTGTGTTTATCACAGCTGGCATTGATACTCAAATGGTAAAGGCCAGCATGACCCAGAGGAATATTTTGCACCTTGTACAATTTCTTTCTTTCTTCTCCTTTAACCCCCAAGCAAGACATATATACTGAATGTCCAAGGAAGGCTCCATTTTTCTTCTTTTTATTGAACAGTCACATGCAAGCAGATATAAATGTGTTACGTTGTTCTTTATCTATTGAATTCTCTATTGAATATCCCAAAAACTTTGAAAACTTGATGAACTAAATAGAAAAGATAAGTAAGTACTCTAACAAAACTTTAAAGTACTCTAATAAAATTAATATGATGCTTAGCAGTGGAGTAATAAGACTGTAACTAAAGTGTTACAAATACTTAATAATAAAGAAGTATTACAAGGGCATACTCTCTAAGTTATAAAAAATTAACTCTCAGTTAAGTCCCATCTATGAAAATAGCTTCAGACTATGTAGTTAATAGACTAAACTAGAGCATAAGCAATTATAACTGTAGTGATTTTGGTAAACTATTGTTCAAGCTTCAATTTTGAAGCAGTTTTATTTTCAGCACTACTTTTGCTACACCTCCCTTAATTATTTAAACATTCTATCATACAAAATTTCACATCTTGGCATCTTGAATTCCCATTAAATGTTTCCTTTGATCTTGCTAAGCATAAAAGTATGCAGGGTTTGTAGTGCTGAGAATGGAAGTGCGAAGTTCTACCTCTAGTGCAAGAAGCCATTTTTCTTGAGAGTTGTATTTTATTGAGGATAATCTGTTTGGGGAATCAGTGGTAACAGCTGAATATAGCATGAAGGCAAAGCTCGAGAAAGTTGCTTTTTTCAGACCACAAGTCTCTGAATTCATCAGCTCAGCAGAATCCATCAACAGGAAGGTTCTGAGAGCAGCATCCCACAAAAAGAGAGAGAGAGAGAAAAGAAAAAAGAAAAAAGAAAAAGAAAAATTTTCATGCTATGGGTGACAGCCAAAAGACAGCAACAATACCTTTCTTCTCTGTCTCTCTTTCTGCCCCTTCTATTTTTTTTTAAAAAAACTTATCTTTCCTACCTCTTCTGGTTCCTTCATCCTTCCTTTTTTATTCTGCCCAGTGGCCTGCTAGGAAAAGAACAGATGATTCTTGCCAGAGGCCTGTCTGATCCTTTGCAGAGGTCTTTTGACATTAGTCTGAGGACTGCTGGTTGCTGGTTGCCCATCCTTAATCTTCTTTCATAGCTTATAAAATATAAGAATATGTATGATGAAAAAAACATACTGGTTGAATATTTGCCGTACAAATTAAGTTGCACTAGCTCAAAATAAATATTTGAAAGATTCTGTGTTTTAACACCATGAAGTCAAAGTGGTAGATTGTGATGGGCAGAATGAATACTTAATAGTCTGAATTGTTGAAAAAAATGTACATAACGTGTTTGGGCTATTCTGAAGAGATCTATATGTGTGATAACAAATAATGAAACAATAATACATCCTTAGGTCAAGATCTTTTCGGGGAAAATGAAGATGCAACCAGTGATCAGATCCCTACTTTGGTTGGATGTGTTAAACATATACATGCATGTCCGAGTGATTTTGTAACCAATGTGTGAACCACAGAATATCATAGAATCATTGAGTCTATAAGGCTATTGAGTCCAAACCCCTGCTCAATGTAGGAATACAAATAAAAGGATACCTGACAGATGGCTGCTGAATGCCTCCAGTGTTGGAGCACCTCCCAAAATTAAAAAAAAGCTTCTATGATTACTATTGTATGCACCATTTCCCCCAATAGGATTTTGCCCTAAGTCCTTAGGAAAGCAGACTATAAGTTTGGAGATAATCTTATTATTTTATTTTCAAAATAAACAAATAATAAATACATTTAAAAAGTACTAGGAGCAAGGAGGGTAAGCTGGAGTTCATTGTTTTGTTCTGTTCTGCTGAAATGCCTTCTAAAATGATTAAAAAAACTTTGTGGCATTTATTTTCAGCAGAGTATTTCCTGAGCTATTTATATGGTTACAATTGATTGGGGAGGCAAAGGCTGCAAGCTGGTAGTTAAGCAAAAATTAAAACAACTAGTACAGAGAGTTCGTTCTCTTTAATCATTAATAAACATATAATTGTTCCCTCTGAAAGTGTCATAAATATGATCGCTTTCCTCTTTTACTTGTAAAATGAACCAATCAAATCATTTTCCTTAAAGAATTAAGTGGCAAGATGAACAAGATTGTCATTGCGTATCTGGGCAGAATAAAATTAGCCCCCTTCATAGATCATCTATCTTTGTAAAACCTTCCCCCTGCCATTCATAGATAGAAGTAAAAATAATTGGTGATATGAAAATTAAAAGCTTTGTTCATTCCCAGTAATGTATTACTTTTTGGTCATCTGTACTTCTGGGAAATTTGCTAAACAAAAATACAGCATCCCACTGTTCAGACAAGTGGGCTAAATAATTGAGCACATATCCTTAGTCTGTGATGTTGGTGTCTGATGCCTGTGTCTAGGAGTTGTTTTAATGTGCTTACTGGGGAAGACTGGATAGAGAGTGAGAGTTGGTAGGGAAGACTAGATAATTGAAATCAGGACTTTTTATTCTTTGTTCATATTGCATCACATTTAACACTGATTAGCAGAATATTTTAATAGTGTTGTGTAGAGTGACTAGCACCAGAAAGTTCAACAGATTCTGATCTATTTTCCTTCTTCAATTCTAGAGGCTCAAGTTGGTCTGCTCTCCACAGCCAGATTGGGGGCCATTTTTGGCTCAACATCGTGGTGAACGTTACCAGAATATGATAGACCCCCTGGGAACATCTTCTCTTGGACTTAAACTGCCACCAAAAGATTTTGAACTGGAGACACCATGCTAGTAATCCTCCGATTTCTAGCCATGTTGTACAGTCCATTCCTTCCTTCCTTCCTTCTTTCCTTTCATTCTTTTGTTTGTTTGTTCTTTCTTTCAGTGCCTGAAAGTGGTTGGTTAAGAAGTAAGACATATTGTTGCATGCCTGTAGTAAAGAACTAGACAGACCACTTTAAGTACTGGGTTTTTGTCTTTGTGTACAGTTGTGCCCAAGAAGGGATACTTTGAATGTGGAACAGTGACAATCAAACAGTTGCACGGGAAAATTGTTCTTGAGAGTGCTGCGCTGATTCTGTTCTTAGGACTAATTCACACAATATAATTTCATATATTGTTTTGGCAGCCATATGAGTGGAATACAAGTTGCTAGCACCATCTGGATGGCCCGTGAGTCCTGCCCTCTGTTTCAGTTTTGTTGAGACATGGTTGGATTGGTCTGCTGGGTACACATAATGCTATAGAGATAACAGGATAGAAGCTATCCTTACTATCTTCTTGATGTTTTTAAAAATATGTCTTTCATGTCACAGAGTCAACCTTGCACAAAAGTTTCCATAGCCTCCCTTTTTATGACATGTTATAGATGCTGAAGACAGGGCTAAATTGACAATGTACAAGAGTAAACTAAGTCACAAACAGAGTAGACTTTGTTGATTTACAATTTGATGTCTTCCATAGTTGGGACTAGCAATTAAATTTAGTCCTCTGTTTCCCTGACTATGGAAAAAGTTTCAATATCTCAGGCTCCTGCTCCACGCTTATTGATTTTTAAAGGACCTGAAATTATATGTAGGAAACATCTGGGGCAGATACCTTTATATATAAAACTGAAACTACAAAACTGAAGACTACAAACAAGCGGCTTCATTGCTATTTGAATAAATACATTTCTATATATTTACCTCAAGTTACAGTCAATCCAGTGTCTTTATGAAATCTATGATTGCAATTGGATATTTACACAAAAATATCAGGGTAATAGTCTGTAGCTGACAATTCAGGAGGGCAATTCTGAAGCCAGTTCTCTTAGGCCCAAGTCTTTCCCATGCTTAAATTCTACTAATGAAAATGTTGAAATTTGATCCTAAAACACCATCTCTGAAAACTTGTGTTCTGCATAGATGTATTCTGCACCTCTTCTTCTGCTCTCTATAGTTAGTATATTTGTCATGTACATACAGAGTTGTTGTTGGGTAGGTGAAACAATAGAACTCTGCAAGATGAGGCTTGAGAATTGTTTATGGGACTAGATTCTACCTCTGTAATGCCAGATCTAAATCCAGGAGGCCTCTATAGAAACTGAATAAAGTCCTCCACTATTTAAACCATAGAAGCCAAGCCTGGCCCATGGATTGTGCCAACATGTCTTCCATTCAGTGGCTGCTACTTACAATGGCACAAGCTGAGCAGCTTTTTGTGCATGCAAGGAGACAGCCTTTCAACCCAGTGCACTAATATAATATGCAACTTGGCAGTGGTGTGGAGGAAGATTAATGAGCATTTCAGGCTTTTAAACAGTACATGTTTGAAGAGAAAAATAAGAGCATGATGGTATGTATTTGAGATAAAGCTGTATCTCTTTTCTGAAATCTGATACAAAAGAGGGCCAAGCTGAGACAGATGGGCACCTCCGTTTTAATTGATTTCATGCTTTTTAATTACTAATCTACTAGATTTTCCCCGTTTCCCCTTAAAAATGTTTCAGTTCTTCCAAATAGTTGTAATGTCTTCATTTTATTGGCAAACTGAAGAGGGGAAAAAACATGAGCCCTAGTTCTAAGTTTGTCCAAGATAAGTTTTCCTTGCTTTATTCACTTCCGTTTACAATCTCTCCTTCTCAAGAAGCCATCATATAATTTGTGCCTAATTTTATATTGCTACAGTAGTTGTATATCCTGGCTTCCATATAACAAACAGTTGTGAGCATTTATCTGTGTAGTTCAGCTGTGTGATTTGCCCATGCTATTTTCTTACAAAGTTCTTTATATACAGCCTTTCGATGTATTCTTCTCTTTCAGCCAGCTGGGTGAGCGAAGTAGCAGAGCCCTGATATTAGCCTGTATAAATATAGTTATTATTATTATTCTATACAATGCATAACTTCACAATGACAAATTATTCCTCAAAACAGCAATCCTGAGGTGTACATGCTTTCCTTTTATTCCCTCACTCCCACACCATAGTCATTTCAAACCACCATCACAAGTTGCAGCAGTAGAGGGACAATGTATTATAAAAAAGAAAAAGTAAGATTTTAGCTTCTTGGCACAGCATCCATAAACAAGTTTGCATTGTGTTATTGCACACAGTACACCCCATAGCACTGAACTGCCATATGAGCAGTGATATACAAGTGTTAATCTGAAAATAGTTTTTTAACCTATTGAGTAGCTTGAAAATAGAGCTTGTAAGACTCCATACAAATAATCCCGTTTATTATAAATGCACTATACAATGAGGGAGAAAAATATATCGTTAATAATTGGCAGTTATTAGTATTCTCTTGTATCATACCCATACATATATGAGGTTTTTAAAAAGTGACCAGTGTTCATGTAGTGTGTACTAGTGCTGTTTTATGTCCCTATAAAATATCTAGCAACCAATGTAGAGATGGTGAGTTTTAGAGTAGTTTTGCTTGTTTCTTTCCCCCTCCTGGTGTTTGTAATATCCAATCTAACTGTACTTCCTTTCAGGGGACTGATCATAGCATATCATATCTTTCCTTTTGTCTGTTTGTCTTCACATTACAGGGTCTCAGGTAAATCTTTAGTTTGAAAATTTGTAGATGTGTCGTTTTCATCTTTTTGGAGGGAAAAGTTTTAAAAAATGGAAGCTAAAATGACTAAACTTTAATGTACATTTTAAAAAAAATTATATCTAAATAATTACATTATTTTCATATAAAATATACAAGTTTTGGGGGCATGTTCCAGTCAAAGTTAAGCCTGGGCCATTCATTTTACTGGGAAACTTTTAAACCTTGCTTAAATGGTTTGCATTAAATGAGACAAAGAATTCAGTGTGCTTAATTTTGGCTGGAAGGTTTGCCTAGAATCATTTTGCTGAACTTTCTCTTCCATAGGGCAAACTGTGTTGCCAGTTCTTTGTTGCTACTGGATGACTGTCAGTCCTTGGGCAGTGGACAGAAGCACAGTCAAACAAATTGACATCAATTGGAATGTGAGATAGATTTTTTAAATGTAATTTTAAAAATGCAAGCCCCGCCCCTACTTTAAGCACAATCTGCTGGAATCTTCTCTACAAATGCTTCAATGGAATAAAGGGGCATGTGCAAGATCCCTTTCATTCCACTGAGCAGGTGGTTTTTTCCGCATGTTGTGTGTGCCTTTAAGGATCTTCCTAGATCCTGATGTAGCTTGAGTTGTTAAGAATGTGCACTTTTCACGAGCTTACCAGCCTTAATTCAATGCTGGGGGCATCTTTGCCAGATGATTCAATGGGGAACTCCTATTTTAGATTTGGCCTGGGATTTATTTTTTGTCTGAGCCATGCTTTGAAGATCCACACCTTGTTCAGGGCATAATGCAATTTTGTAAATATGAGTTGGAAATTAACTTTTCAAACATCAGTGTCTGGAGAAGAAAACTGTCACATTCTTGAAATGAATGATCAGCATAGATTTTGATTAAGTGGTTGATAAAATGAACTTTAGCTCAACTAGTGCTATCTGGTAGTAGGAATCCGTTTATATCACAGAGCTTTATATCATGCAATTTCTATTTTTTTCCTGTTTTCTTTACTTATTTTCAGGGCCTAGCCCAAATTTAGCCACTTAATATGTGCAAATTCAATTTCTATAGTATTTTATGATGATTAAAAACAACAATTGGTTAATCATATACTTTTCTTAAAGGGCATTCAAAGTAAAATATTATGAAATAAAAAAATAAATGTTTTAATTAATTTAATTGTGAGAGGAAGGCAGCTAATTCGTAGAGTAGAAGATTTTATTTTCCTTTAGACTTTATTACAAGTAAATCCAACAGTTACAGTAATAACAATATAAACTGGTAGCTGTTATGGTACAAAAGACAACATGTACCAATCTTGTTTTCCCTTACATGCTAACTTAACTGCAGACTTACAGGACAAATTACTGAAGTGTATGGTTAGTCATCATAGCTGATATTATCTCTGTAAAGGGTTAATCCCAGAATGAAATCAGACAATCATTGACAAGCATTTCAGAATTAATCTGGGTATCTGAATATGAGTATTTTCTTTGTTGCAATGATTCCAGTAACCTCAAAATTGATTTTTTTACAAGTTTTATTTGTACTTAGCTTCTAGGTTCCATATTTTGAAAATATATTCCATATTTTGAAAATATATTGAATGCAGTCATATAGTTGTGAGGAAAAATTGTAGCCACTAATACTTAAAATCCAAAAGTTTTACCGTTATGCAAAACTCTATGCACATATGCTTAAATACAATGCAGTCTTACAACTATGAAAAGCTGCAGACATGCAAATACAAAACTTCAATTGGTTGTTGTGGGTTTTTCGGACTCTTTGGCTGTGTTCTGAAGGTTGTTCTTCCTGATGTTTCACCAGTCTCTGTGGCCGGCATCTTCAGAGGACTGGAGTAGGAACACAGTCCATGCTCTCCTACTCCAGTCCTCTGAAGATGCTGGCCACAGAGACTGGCAAAACGTCAGGAAGAACAACCGTCAGACCACGGCCAGAGAGCCTCAAAAACCCACAACAAGCACCAGACCCCAGCCGTGAAAGCCTTCGAGAAAACTTCAATTGTATGTAGAATAGAATTCATATAGAATAAAGGGGTTTATAGCCCAAAAGGGCAGAGACTACATTTCTAAAATATATCAAAGTTCTTAAAAATCTAAAAGCAGTGTAAGGCATAGAAAAGTATTCAATCTTTTCAAAGAAAAATATATGTAAAAAATTTGTTTAGTTCCAAGCATATTAAGACACAAAGGAAAACATTTCTAAACAGAGCTCACCTGTGCTATTTTTACAGTCTAAGTGAAATCTATTGTTTACTCTCCAGAGCTGCTTTCTTGTCTCCTTGGATAAGATGTCTCTCACAACTGGCACCTGCTGATTCTTCTGATTCAGAGGTGAAAAATCACTGGTTATTTATACTCTTATATTACTTAATTTGCTAAGCAGTGGTTACCCCATCTTTTAGTGACAGCTGTTTACTTTTTTTCTTCTCAGTGTCTAAAACAGCTTTAAAGCATCTATGTAAGCATCCTCACATAACCGTTTGCAAAACAATTGTTTTCAGCTGTCATGTGTTTATTATTTTTATATCTTTTCAATAGTAAAACAAAACAGGTGGTTGCCAAAGAACTCTTTTGATCTCAGTAACCTTGCTTTTCTGGAGCCTTTTATATGTTTTCATGTCACAAGATTAAAAATACTATATGTTTAGGGCAGTTTTAGGGCAATTTTTTTTTAAAAGCCCTCTCCCAATAATTGCTCTAACACTCTTAGACAGACAAGGTATTAAACCTTGATGGGGGCTTATCATTTCCCCCTATATATTTGGTAGGAAACAAACCAACTGTTCATGAATGCTGAGGAAGGGTTGTAATTCAATGATAGAATTAATGCTTTAGATGCCAAGATTCCAGGTGAAATCTCTAGCAAATAGACCTCTGGAAAAGAATCCTTTTGGATATACACTGCTAGTTATATAAATAGCACTATATTAGATGGGCCACTAGTCTCAATCAGTGGCTGAAATCCTGTTGCTTTGCATACTGCATTGCACTATATTAAGCCCATTGAATGAGTGAGGATTTAGTGAGTCATCTCTTCTGCCTGTTTCATTGAATCAGATGGGCCTACTTTAGTGCAATTTATGGTGCTAACTATTGGGATTTCAGACTGGTATAAGGCACCTTTAAGTTTCCATGTTACAGTATCTGTTGTTCTAGACATGTGTTTTCCTTCTTACGGAATATAACTGTCTGCTTCAGCACACCCTGCTACTCTTTATTTGAAACCACAGCAGTGCAAATGCAAACTGGAGCAGAGGTGGGAGACCTCAAGCTCAGGGACTGAATCTGGCCCTTCTGGGTTCAAGTCCAGCCCTCTGTGGTCTCCAGAAGGCCATGTCTTCTTCTGCATGACACTACTGTTTGGTGGGTTTTCCAGCTTTTATATTGATAGTTGCCATTCTAACAATTTGAAATGTGTCTTCTATGACTTGGTTGCTACAGTAAGAGGTTCAAGCTAAAATGTAGTGGGGTTTTTTTGTCACACTCTCATTCACAGCTTGAATGTGCCCCCTTACCAGAACTTTTCTGACATTGAATCTGGTCCACAAACTGAATGATATTATACTCCACCCATCCACTGGAGAGTAGACACTGTTTCCTAGGATGTCAAATAAGACACAAGCCTGCCAAAATTAAATATTTTTTGCAGGTATGTGCCAGACTCTCTCCAGCTGACATCCATCGGACTTCAGTGTGTTTAAGTTTGCCTAAATTCTTCCCAGATATTCTGCAACCTTCTCAGCTGCTTTTCTGAAAGAGAGTCTGGCTTCAGTCTTCCACTCATCCAAGAGGATTGCCTTACTAAACCTGCTCATATAATAAGATTTTCTTAAGATATGTTTCTTGGAACTGCAATGAACTGCAATGCTGACCTCAAAATATGGATGACGGAATTAGGGCTGATTTTACAACCACCTGGCATACGCTTGGCGTGAGAAGCCATTGTTTATGGGTTGCCTGCCAGTTGTGCTCAGCTGACACCACATGCAGGATTTGGCATTTGTTGGCAATAAACTCCCAATGTGTGGGGGCGCATGCTAAAATCTGGATCCTGTTTGTTGTTGCAGCTGTAGGCTACAAGCTCTTCACAAACAAGGACCCAATGTGAAAAAACTTTTCAATGTTTTTTCTGAACTTCTGTGGCTCTGATGGTCTTATAAGTTACTGCTAGCCACATAAATCTATAAAAACATTTTTTTTAGATTAAATGCCTGGTCTGGAGAACTACAAAACGTGTAATCTAGAGCAAGCATATGATGTAGAATACTTCTGTCTTTTAGGGGAAAATATATCTCTTTAAATTCTTCCTATTTTACAAATGGTAGTAATTTTCTATTGAATCTGATGGCAAAACTCCTCTTGACATGAAAGCTTCAGTTGAGGGTGCTCAACAAGAACAGTCTAATTTTAGTTTCTCTCTAGTGCCTACAGTATAAAAATCTATAAATTTTTAAAAAAGAAAAGCAGTCTTTGCTGTTCCCATCATTTCTGTGGTAAGCGAAAGCATTCGTTCATCTTAAAACTGAAGTATAGTATTTGATTCTAATTTGTTATGTAATAATAAAACATATTTCACAGCTGTTCAGATTACCTAGTAGTGACTGCACATATTCTATGAGCACTTCCTAGAGACCATCAAAGTATTTTAGTAAACTGTAATTTTAAAATATATAAAAGAGATTTTTAAAAGCCATATTTATAGAAAGGTGACATATCTATTTCTATAGCCATTGACCTTATAGGGGAAAAATTGATAATCTAATAGTGAATTGTCTATATGGCACCTTGAGTTTAACAAATGAGGCTAAGTTTTGAATAAGCCAGATGTACTGTTGTATACATTTAAAATCAGATTTAATGCAGAATATTCCACCTTAAAATTCTTTAGAGCCACCTATATAGAATGTCTGTGTTCAGCCCGGCAGTCTTTGTTTTTAAAAGGTGAGTTTACAAAAAAAGAACTTTAGCCAGAAAGCAAAACAAAAGCAAAAAGACTTGGGATATGTTTAGGCTAGCATTTCATTTGAGTTAGGCTGTTGTTTCTATTATGTTCTGCTCCAGTGATTGGACTGATAATGCTTCTGCACTGGACAAAAATAAAGAATAATGTCCTGTACTGTACTTTATAGTTTTGTTTAAACTATAAGATGTCGTTCAGCATTAATCTTTTCCTTTCAATTCCCTCTTATCTTTTTTTTATATATAAGTAATTATGTGGCTTATGGGTTTATAGTGGACTCTTACTAGAAGCATTGCTTATTTCACACAGATGCTATTTTCCCCCTTTCCCATTAAAATGAACCTTTTGCAGGTTTTCTATCTCAAATGGGCAAAAAATGAGAATAAAATGTTGATGCTTGCAGTCACAGCCTTGGTGGTGTTCCTTTGCTACAGGGAGAGGTTAATCCACCAGATGCCATTGCTTGTGCTGCTCTGGCAGAACCTGTGTTCTTCGAAAATTTGACTTGAATAGGATTTCCCTACCACCACCACCGCTTGGAAGATGTACAGTGGTAATATTTCTTGGGCTGCTCCCAGGAAATATTTCAGTGAAAGTCCTTAAACATTGCCACTGACCATTTGGGTGACTCAGTGTTTTCCTAACCTGCAGTGAAAGCTATTGCGTGCAATCAACTCTGCATACTGAGCTGCCTGGAACTTACCATTCCACTCTAAACTTCAGTGAAAGGGGAGGAAAAATGTACATAATTAAGGTATTAATGGTTTCTGCCTTGGTGACACCATCAGGCAGCCAATAACCAAAGAAAGAGTGCGTGAGTGAGGGTGCTTTAGCGGGGGTTAATTTAAAATATGAAAGCTGGGCTGGACCGTGTTGCTTGAAATAGTATGATTTCGCCCACCATTTTTTAAATACATCTTCAGGTAACCATTTGCCTTATAGGTGTATTTCATTGTTAGAAATAATTCGTGTTTGACTAGAATATATTGTTGTCTGTCACTTAGAGTATATAGTGTACTTCGTGTCTTTTAGGCACTTTATCGTGGACCTATCATGGAATAGGTTAATTATTAATTACTTGCGTAATGTCATAAATATTTACAGGCATTCTATAGGGGTACTGCTGCCTATGGATAAAGATATGTACCCTAATCAGGACGTTATATTTTCACCACATATAAGCTAATGGGAAAAATACATTATGTTTCAAAGAATGCATATCATATATCTATATCTGTCTATGTATCATGCAGAGCACCTACGATAATATATTATACACTATTCATTTAATAAATCATTCTTCTTGAGGCCCTACCTCAACTTTTGTATTTATGTGTACAAATGCAATTTACTGTATTATATATTTGGCTATTATATTCTGATGTTACAAATTAAAATTTATCCTCCAATGTATGAGTTCACACAAAAAAAACTAAATAAATGTCCAGTCTTTAAAGGATATGAATTGTGACTGAGTGTACTAGATGCTTTTAAAGAAAATATTTTTTTTTCAAAAACCTTCATATTCTGCATGCTACAGACATCATTATTCAGTGGTAATAACATTCATGCACTTCTTAGAAAATCTGAGTGGTGACCAAAAAATGAAAAAGAAAACCTTCCAGTGCTCTGGGGGAAATGAAATATCAATTAGATGGTTAGAGTCTTAACGATTAGAATGCTCTGCAACATGCTGAATAATTAATTACTTATCAAAGAACTGATTGGATTTGTTAGATCTTTTTATTGCATTAAATCAATCACACAGAATATTAAATAAAAATAGAGGGAAGAAACAACATGAATGACACATTCATGGTGGTGCAGAAAGGGAAAACCAGAGTACCCACAGGATGAGCCACACTCTCTTTGGGAATTAAGCATCCCTGGAACCAGTAGATCTAAAGCTTGAGTAAATATGACTAGTAACGTGCTAAAGAAGGCACACTTTGGTCACTTCAGAAGTTAAAACGGGGCCACAATAAAATGCAAATCAGATCAGACTGCCCTTTATTTTAATAGAAGAAAGTTAAGGATGAGCTTTAAGCATACTTCCTTTTGGCTGGATCTAACTCTTCCACTTAAATTTTGACCCTTATCTGCACAGGAGACATTTTAGTCTGCAAGAACCATGTTTTGCAGAAGAATTTACACAGAAAAAAATCATAGACAGTAGTAGTTTTGGGAGCTGAATGAATTCTAAACAATGTCCCCAGTTTCAGGACCAAACAACTTATTAAATTGTCCATCATTAAAAACCAAGCAAGAAAATGACACTTAATCATGAGACCATGGCATGATATAGAGACATGTATAAGCCACCCGAAAAGACATTTGCATTATGCAGGGATGTAAACATAAAAACATACACATTACATACATACTCTGTTTGTAGCCCCAGCTACAGCTTTCTTGTTAGAGACAGAGCACATGGATACACACACAATTTGCGTAGGAGCTGAAGTGTAGGAATGTGGTTACAGTAAACTCCTGACAATTTCCCTTTTGGTGTCCCATACTAGCTATGCAAGGGAGACAACCCATATGGAGATTGTAATACAAGAGGAAATAGCCATCCCGATTGGTAATTTCCAGATGTGTTGGTCTATAACTCCCATCAGCTAATGGAAATTATATTGTAGGGTGTGACTACATTGATTTACAATGTGGGAAATGCCCTGGGATTGAGACAACATGGTTCTCATTGTTTTCCGTTGACTACACAACACAAAAGTCAATGCAAATCAGCATGGAATCCCCATCTATTGTTTTTTTTCTCCAACGCTGAGGCTCCTTTTTTTGACAAGCAATGGTTCAGGCGCTGCAATTGCTTAAACTAGCACAGAAAAGTGTATTGGCAGGGTGGAGAGCACCTTCAAGTACCTTGTCCCTTTCCTCTTGGCTCATGAGGGAGGACAAGCCGGATCCAGCCCTGCACTATTCACTTGCTCAGCTGGGACACAACCCCCAGCCTTTTGTGTTTATTTTTCAGCAAATGCTCTAATGGAGTGATGATGATTAGGTGACAAGAGAAGGAGGAATGGTGTAGCAGCTGGGAAGGGCAAGGTTTAAATACCAGGAAGGTCAGATTTTTGCCAATAATACTGCTTCTTTATTTGTTCTTGTACCAGCATCTAGAGACGCACACAGAATGAGAAGAGGAAATTGCCATTCATCCCTCATTTACCACTAATTAAGGTAGTTCTCATTTAGCCAGGCCTTATGCATATCAGCAGGGCTATAGGAGAGCTATGTTAGCAAGCTGCAAACAAGGCTGTTTGCCAGTTTTCTGTTTTCTCCCTCCTGACGCCCTGTGTGGCCAATTAAAATGAATTTACCCAGGTGTGACTTCATAGTGGATCAATAGCAATCGCAAAAAACTCATTGTGAAGCGATTTCGTCGTCAAGCGGGCTCATCATCAAGCGGGGCACCATTGTATTCTTTTCAACCCTAATTGTTTGCTCTTTGTTGCCCATCTTTTCCAATCAATCTTTTAACATAATAACTTGTTTCTTCCTTAATAAATTCTCCAAATTCATTTCAAATTTCTTGGAAATTTCTCCAACTGGATATAATGGAGAAGTTAATGGGATAAATATTTTTCTATTATTGTTCCAAATTAGTAACATATTCTATTTTTGAAGGATTTCTTATTTTTTTAAACAATGATCTTATTATTTATTAAAAAAATATCGTCAGGTTTCCCACCAATTCCTGCAATTCCAAATTTAACCATATTCAATTATTAACCTGAGATATAATTTCAGGCATATGTCTCATCTGATTAGTTGTACAATATAACTTTTTGTAAAATCAACTAATTCTCCCTGTTTTTGAGATTTATACCATATATTCTTATTAATCCTTAATAATCCTTGTCCGCTCTTTTATTATTCTTTGTTACAATTTAATTAACACCTTTTCCCAAGGAAACATAATTGAAGGGTTCTGTTACCCTTTTCTCTAGAAAAAAGAAGAAGCACTGATTGTATAAAATACAGTAATATTGGCAAATATAAATGGCAAATAGATGGGCAGAACATCCAACAGGTCAAGACCTGTAAATATTTAGGGGTTGTTTTTCAGACAACTGGCCTGTGGAAAGCCCCCATTGCCCATGTCATTGAAAATGCTCAAGGAATCATTATTGCCATTCTGTAATTCTTCTCCTCAAAACAGATATATAGAGCTACCATCTATAGGAAAAGTATTCCAAGGCAGATACTGGCCCAACTTCTGTATGGTTCAGGCTATGTTACCAAAGAAACTATTAGGAAGCAGATCTGGGATACAACTGAACTGAGCATGGGTCCCATTTTACTCAGTGGTTGGGAATCAGAGCAAAATCTTTATTCCAGCAGATTACCTTTCTAATTTAGAATTTGTGAGCCACTGGAGAACTTTTACCTAGGCCCACTGAAATGCTCTAACTTTCGCCTTTTTTAGAGGGAAACTACTCATGTGACTAGCACTTTTGCCCCTGCCCATCTGGTATGGTGGCAACTGTGGGACATGTCCTATTCTACAGCACATTTTATAAAGGTTCACAAAATCTATTTTTCCCCCAATTTTAAAACATTACCCACGTAGACTGATAAATGTTATACCTCTTTCTGACTCTTCTGATTCCTCAAGCGAAATTACAAGGTTGCAAAATTACAAAATTCTGTGCACCTTATACAATAGAAATCCTAACTAAATCACTGCAGTAATCAGATTAGGAACTAATGCTTAATTGTAATCTGAATTACAGTCTGCTTTGTATCAATTGTAAATATGATATGCTTTGTTACTGTATTTTAGTCTTGCACATCTAGCATGGCTGACCTATGGTTGTAATAGTAATAAAGTTAAAGGTTACAAACATAATGAGTTATATTTCTGTTATTGTGTAGGGAAAACCTAATGCAACAAGCCTAATGCAACAAATTTTATGGACTGAGTACTTAATTTATTCATCACTAATTTTGTTGGTTGTAGTTTTTAATTAATTCCAAATAATTCTCATTTTTGAAAAATATTATGTCACAATTATCCCCAAAGTATCCAAATGGGATTATAAAACATAACCCATTTTCAAAGCATTAAACATATTTCAGTGCAGCCTATGCTTTTTTAAATGTGAGAATCATTTATAATTCTGTTCTTATATTACAAAACATTATCATCCATTTAATTGTTTTACTCCTGCCCTTCCATTTCTGTTCTTCTTTCCCATGCTCCATATTCAGAGTTAAATTCCACATGGGCTTATTTAGTAGGACAAACAGCTTTCTCTGCCACCTATTTTAATGAGACCTGCTTTCTTATATGAATCATTTACAGTGATAAAAAGAAGACAAATAGCAGGTTGATGAGTGACAGAGAAAAATGTGTCTAAACTGTCCAGGATGCTATGCATCAGAAAGGTAGTTGAGAAGGATTAATGGATGTTATTATATATGATTAATTTTTTTCCTCATGGTTTTTAAATGAGCAGTAAGATGTCTAGCACTATAAGGATGGGTATCTAAATATATCAACTAGCAAAAAAGTCCAGTACCTGAGATGACAATAACACATGTATAAAGCGTGCTGCTTATATACCACCCCATAACGCTTCAAGCACTCTCTGGGCGGTTTACAAGTTAATTATGCAGGCTACACACACACCCCGCCAGTGAGCTGGGTACTCATTTCACCGACCTCGGAAGGATAGACGGCTGAGTCAACCTTGAGCCGGCTACCTGGGATTGAACCCCAGGTCGTGAGCACAATTTTGGCTGCAGTACAGCGGTTTAACCACTGCGCCACGAGGCTCTATATGATTCTTACAGACAGTATTTTTTCTGCTGAAGTCACCAATAAAACCCTTTCCTTTTGATAGGGAGCAGGAATGTATCACATGAATATACTATAACATATTAAAATATCAAACTTCTAAAGAAGTGCTCGAAGCAGTATATTCAGTGATCTTAACCAGGTTGGGATTTGAGCATTGGTTGTTTCAGTCTAAATCAAGCACTCCAGTTACACACCACAATACTTAGGGGTTGATTAGCTAGCTATCTGTCTATTGGTAGTCAAACTGGTTTCCATTCACTAATATAAGAAATATACAATTCTTCCAAAAAATAAAAATAAAAGAAAGAAAGAAAGAAAGGAAAGAAAGAAAGAAAGAAAGAAAGAAAGAAAGAAAGAAAGAAAGAAAGAAAAGAAAGAAAGAAAGAAAGAAAGAAAGAAAGAAAGAAAGAAAGAAAGAAAGAAAGAAAGAAAGAAAGAAAGAAAGAAAGAAAGTTCTGCTTTTTGAATGTGGGACATTGTGCTTCTTTATCCATGATTCAAAATGGCCCAATATTTGCTGCACCATATTATGCTCCTGTAGCCAGCAGGAAAAGGATGGCAAACATTA